GATCTGGGACTTCTGCTGCTTGTGATTCAAAGTTATTTGTCGTGAACTGTTTCCAAACCACGAGTGGGTGCCTTGAACTAAATTTAAATAGTTACGTGACCGCGGCTCGCGATGTCATAAGCAATTAATAATAAGGAAAATGACGTGTTCATGACTTGAAAAGCTTCTCTGTGTGCGGCAGTCATGTCATATCCAGGTAAGAAGTGACAACTTGCCGATGCTTGGCCTTCATTACTCGCCATTTAAAGTCAAAATTTGACTAGGTCATCGTATAATATAGCATGTACCAGTCTCCCCTATAGTATTTTTAACTTTTAAATATGGCACAGTCCTTTTCAGATTTAAAAACACATGTTTTTAGTATGCCATAGAAAAGCTGGAAGTAGGTGTCGGGAATAATGCGTTTGACTGCGTTTATAATAGCGATCTCTCTGTCCGTCACTAACACCATCGCATCGAATCTGTCGAGCGTTTATCTGATTTTGCAGCTGCGCCACCGCCCTTAATGTAATCATCAGTCTCTGGAGCCATAAAGATGTACGAGAGTGAAAACGACTAATACGTTGCTTGTCACTCATAGTGTGTAGTAAAGTCATCCATTTTTGTTGGATTTGCAGGTTGGGTCCTAAAGATGAACGTCGTTTGCAGAATTATCTTTTGCAATAATAACGGCGGATTCGGGCGCGACGTATAGTTGGTTTAGCTTGCCTCATCCATCTAGACGTAACTTATGGGCATAGTTGTTCTCAAAAATTACGTCAGAAAAGCATTTAAAGGTGGACGATCAGCAAGAAATTCTTTCTCGGCTTTTGTTTCGATATTATCGACATCCTGAAGGATGGCTTTTCAGAACGGGTTGTCCTGCCGCAGAGTAGCGAGAAGTTACTTCATCTTTATGCCTTCTTTACACACCTCTAAGCCGTCAACAGCTGCTCGTAGCTAGATTTCCTCGCTGCTGCGTATGTTGCGACATCTAATGAAGCTGTGTAGTTATGTGTAACATTAACAAATGTTAAAATGAATGAGTCTTCTGACTCATTTTTTCGCAGTGTTACCTAAATGGCAGCTGGTTTACGAGGACCTAATACAATGGACACCCTTGTGCTCCGCCACGTACGCAGTGAACGAAAACACGCTTAAATCTTCCACCCATTCGATTTCAAACGATTCACGACATTCGGCATTTAATTTGATTCATGGACAAGTAGCTTTTTATATGCTTTATTAATCGACGAGAAAGTCGCGCCAGCCCGTGGTGTTAGCATCATGGTGTTGTAGTCTTGTCAACGTCGGTTGGGTCCTGTGGGCCGTATCACAGGTACTAAATATGAAGTATTTTAATCTATTTTGATTTCAATTGAGATGCTTTACTATAACAGGAGGGCGTAATACATACATGCAACGGCTCTTTGCATATCACCTTCGATTAATTAACATAATGTTACGCCTTCACAAATAATGTCGATAATATTATCTAGTTAATAATATTACTGATTACTGATTAATGAAATTGATGATGAAATGTACAGGGTCCCCCGCGACATTCTTTCTTTTACATTCTTGTCACTTAATGCACCAGCGATTTCTAAGCGTAGAACAAAGAGACATAGACCATGCGTAGTTCTATTAACTTTAACACAGCGCAACCTCTTTCCTAGCCTCCACCCACACCAAAATGGTACGTGATGATACGATACATGATTCGGTTAAAAATTAGTTTACTTATATTCGAGCATCCCCACCACACCACATTATTTTTGAACTAAAATGTTACTGCATGAGAAGTACGCAATTGAAAAATGTATCATCTCAATATTTGGACTCGGTGCACACCAATCTAAAAGTCACAAACACCGCTCTATTTATTGATACGCCTGCCTATCGTAGCCGACACAATTTTGGCGAGCAATCAGCAAGATCGCATGAATGTTCCAATTTGAAAAGCTTTTAAAGCCCATTGGGAAGTGAATGTAATTTCGATGGCAACTGGGAGAGTGAAGATTTTGGGGATATGTTAAAAGAGTTTTCAAATTCGGTGTTTTGAGCCGAGAATTTAGGGTGCTTTCTTAAAATAGAGATATTTAAATGGTTGGGTGTGGAAGAACTCCTAAAAATTCTAAATCAAAAATGAACTGCGGTACGGGATAAATTACCCGCTGCAAATGCTATTGATCGGCGAATATCAGAGCTTTCTTCTTTACGTTTTACAAAAATGACGAACAAAACAGGGAACAAGCTCTGAGCTCATCTTTTAGTGTAAGATTTTTTTTTACATTTTGTCCATACAACTGAATCAAATTTGGTGTGTTAACGTACCCATTTAGGGGGTTGGCGGCAAGGGAATGTATAACGGGGCACATCCTTGCTAGATGACTGGCAAGACCGTGTTTTGACTAAAAACAAGGATGTGTGCTCGTGACGTCACGTTGACGTAGCTTGAGAAAGCGCAGCGATGTAAACTGAACTACAAGATCCATTTAGGGAAAAGTAGAACTGTAGTAAATAATGTTAAGTTTCTTTGTAAATCATCTTTGTCGTGATCTAATTTTGGTAATCTACAATCCCCTGTGTGCGTTTCTTACCCACCACCCATTCGGCGCGTCCAGCAGCGATTGTGGGTAATTTAGATGATGTAGTGTCTGCATCAATCAAAAGTAGAGCTACCCGGAATACCACCTTCGAAGGTGATATTTCGCCAACATCACCTCTCCGCGAGTGATGTTGATTAAATATAATCGAAAGAGTTTATTTCAAAAAGTAATGCATTCGTATCAATTTTTTTATGTAACGGGCTCATCTCGTTGCAGAATGGGTTGTAAAGTGTGTTTGTCAATATTAATACTGATAAATTATGTATGTAAATGCATGTAAACGCGTTTCGCGAGCTGTCTTGCCACAAATGTGGTTTAACTTCCGCATGCGCAGGTTTTCTCGCTGCTTCTTAAATTCCTTCTCTCTCAGTTAAAGTCCATCAACAACGTGTGTGCTACAAACGCCTTGGACAAGTTCTTCCAGGCTGCACGATTCTGTGCACAAAGGCGAAGGAGGTGCAGGTCGGGGGCACGTTGAATGCATTGTCCTGTGTAAAGTATTTGAAAGTCGGCTTCGAGGGCCATAGGTAGCGTTTGTCGGTGTCTGCCTCTCCATTTGCCGGTCTTGCTGGGGTTGAAGAAGGCTTCCACGAACTAGTGTGCTGTAATGCCTGCAGGTCTGCGGAGGATGTGGCCAAGAAGGCTCCACCGACTGCGAGAAAAATCTGCTACCGGAAGAAAAGAATTTACTAACTCTTACCAGTTCACTTAATTTTGATCAAAGGCACTTCACTAACTGTCGTGAAAGTTGCTAGGATTCGCTGCTCTTAAGTATCCAGCATTTCCTTGAAATCTCTCCGGACAAGGTACACGTAGCGTTATGTACACACACGGACACACGGACAAAAGGTATGCTTTGAAACTCTTAAATTCACCCTGCAACAAACTATTGATAACTTTCCCTTAGGACTTGCAATAAGTGCATGCAAACACTCTTGTGACAATTGTACTGGTTGTACCTACCGTCGTATGACCCCGTAACACAAAGGGCAATGCGTTGACATATACAAGCCTTTGTACGTTCAGCATTTACGAAGAGTCTAGCTGACAAGATAATGTATCATATTTCTTGCATATAGCTCTTGGTCTGCTGATCCGTGTTCAGATTGCCAATAAATATTCTCGGTAAAGCTGCGCAGTTCACTGCTCTTTACTGTAATGGTTGTAAATTGCCAGCGTACGACAGTCAGCTGAAAAAAGGTAGCTGCCTTGTTCAATGGTGCAAAAATGAAGTATCTGTTTAAGCTGATTGGCAAAAAGATGATGGTACATTGCAAGCATAACCAGGCGCTCCATCAAACGGAATGCGAGGTTGAAAAGTTTCGGCAAATTCTGAAACACCTTATGCGTTTTGGAATTCGCCGAAAGTTTTTAACCTCGCATTCCGTTGGGCTTTGCAAGATCAGTGCCATAGAGCATTATTCAGACACAACATTTGTGGGTACGTCGCTGATGGATGTGACAGTGGTCTGGAATTAAATCATTACAGAGCTACACTCACGTATTTCGTAATTAAAACTAAAGATCCCATGACGCCTGATCCGAAATTTTTCGAACATTAACAAAGACCAGCACCTACGCATTATTGACGCATTATTTCGAGACTACCGTTGCTAATGACTATGAAACTTCGTGGAGATCTAAGTGTTGCTGCCGGTATGCATCAATGCGACGAGAAGATGGGTAAAGTCCTGAAAGTTTACCCAAGCTTGCACGAACTAGACTTGCAAAACGACAATTTTTGAATGTTATCGTTGGAACAGAGTCCCTGTCGCATCATGCTAGCACATAAAATGTCGCAATGTGGATTACTTCTAGAGACACCGCTGCTGATACGCTGCTCGATTCGAATATGGAGGCGAAAGTTGGCGTTGTACAAAACCTCAATTATTCGTTACTACAGGCTACCTGAAGCTGCCAGGTTTATGCAAAGGATCCGTCTCCCTTCGACCTTCAACCTGCCTTGCTTGTAGAATTTTCCATCTTTGCATAGCTGACTTGCGTTAGGCTTAGCAGACATTCGGAGCACTAAACATATTTTGCCCCTGCACTGGGATCAATCGAGTTCCAGTGAGGGACATCAACTGAATGGCGGCGTAACACGGAAGTGCTAGCAAGTTTCTTGATTTCCATTCTTGCGTTGAAGCTGCTTGGTAGGAGAGTGTGTATAAAATGTGTCAATGTGACAAAGCAGTACGACGCCGTTTCGACCAATTCCGACACGATGGGGAACACGAAAGCGGTTCGGTCGCATGTGCTGGATATGTGCACTCTGGTGTGTGTCACACATTTCCCTGCTCACTTTCAGCGGCAGATTCAAAGCCAGTAATAATCACTTCGGAAATCCCGAAGCACTTTCACTTTGGACCTCACGCCCGCACATCTCTGTCTTGTCAATTGCAATCCAGAATGCTCAAGGTCTGCCGCTATACCGCCTCTGCCAGCCGTATGCGATCTCTTCGCGCCCTCACTACGTACTCCGGCGGCCAGCCGTCTGAGGGCCAGGGCGGCTTCTATGGCTCGGCCAAGACGCGATCCGAAGCCAGTTCCAAGTTCAGCCCCGGCGCACGCGCCGAGCCGCAGGATTTGACCAAGCTGCAGCAGCTCATGAGTCAGTGGGAGGCACAGAAGGCGTCGCTTGCTGCTGAAGAGCAGAAGAGGGTGCTTGCGCGGATCGCGAGCGAGGAGGAGACGCTCATCCAGCGCCTTCTCATCCGCGGCGCGCCCGTGTGGGGGCTCTCTGTACAGCAGCGTCACTTTGTGGCCGAGTGCAGCAAGATTCGCTGCTTCTGACTACAGGCAGGGCCTTTTTTCGTATGTCAGCGGCTGTCGGGGATTTCAATGCGTCCAGCTGCCTTCCTCTGAGGCTATACAGCTTCATAGTATGCGCTCAGTTACCATGGGAATAAAGAAATACTAGCTAGGGAGGCAAATTGCCGTAAATGTACCGCTTTTCTAAAAAGTGGCGTCGAATTAAGGAATCATAGTTCCTGTAGTGTAGCAGGGTGCCAAGTACTGAACACCAATGATGCTGCTTTCTTCAGCAAATGGCCGCTTTCTCCACGATTATTCTTTGACATCACTAGTCGAGGACGATGATGGGCAATGACGTCACAGCTTAGCAGAGTACCGAATCGATTGCATCAGACAATGCAATCGCTAGGTCTAGTACTGCAATCGTGTTGATATTCGAAGAAAGGGTCCTTGTAAATACTTTAAGGTCGAAGAGCCCAGCGTCGCCAATCGTTCTCGCCTCATGATCAGATCGCCGCCGGCACACGTGCTCACGATTTGCTATTGGGTTATGTGCAATCTACTGTGGTCGCTAGCACTTTCTGGCTACCGAATCTCTTTGGACAGCAGTTCTTCGAGCTCAAGGGATTCCAGACGTAATTACAGATACACAGTGAGCCTGAAGTTGGCAACTTTCTTCCTCGAGCGCTGTGTTTGCAAATTGCAATCACTCGATCTTGTCTATGACATCGGAGCCTTTGCTAACTTCTGGGTAAAATTTTTGTTTTTAGACCATCAGTTGTGATACGTTTGAGCGGCCCCTTTGTAAATCACGGAGAAGCTGGACGGCTACATCGTGCCATCTGGCGACGTAGCAGCTTACAAGTTAAGGATCAATCACAACGTCACGCAAACAATGCTTCTGCTTAACGAGGTAGCGATATTGATGCCGACATCAAATGTCGATTCTGCTACGAAGCGACGATTGCACAGCCCATTTTATCGCAGCCGTTGCATCGATGTTGCGTGCAACAAAGGAAGCACAGCACGACTTACGTAGACACTTCTACGTGTCGGACACCTTGCATCCAAATAGAATCGATTCCCACTTCCGCCTTTGCATCTCGAATAAACAAGGACTTTGCACAAAGCAGCCGTAATACGTACCGGGTTGGCTAACATATAGAGAACAAAGCAAAAAAACTCAGTTTTGTGTGCGAGTGTGTAAGGAATGTAATTTGGCGTAGCCAACTTGCGTAGGCTGCGATTTGAGGAGACTGCCTACTAACAGGAATGGAGGGCGTATTTGTGACAAACGAAACCATGTGGTGCTAATCCTGTGATGCATTGGACACAAGCAACATGTCGATGCGATTTATATTGCAGTGGTTCACCTCATTGTTGTGGATCTGTCACCTTTTTTGTGAGCTTATTTCTGCGGCGTAAAGGTGCCCCACATAGTTAGTGGCCTCTCGTCACTACATGCCGCTGATTAAATAGTTAGTGGCGTCTCGTCACTACATGCCGCTGATTAAAGTCGTTCTCAGATAAGAGCTATCGGTATGAAATTAGCTGCAATCACGGGCTCGAAAATGAGACTGCTTCGTGAATACCACATTTTAGCACGCTTTCGCTTCGGAACACCGTTACTATTCCTATTTCACAATCTTACCAAGTGATGACACATCAGTCATTGTTGGACGCCAAGATAGCGTCACTTTGGTCCTTTATTGCCGTTAGCCAAGCTTTTCCTTCCGCATTGTGCCCATACTTAAGCCCTGATTTTTACCGGCACTTTCGGCACGCCACCATAGAGAAGTTGCACTTTTCACCAAGCTTCGAGATTTTCTCTCCGTTGTTTTGACACATTGATGAGATGGGCCCGCAGACTAAACTGTAGCTTTCTTTGCACCCGTTCATCTTTTGCAGTGAACACTAATATTGCTGAGATACTGAGCATTGACGTGTTTATCACTTTGGTATGATAAAAGCCCTGGTATAGGCTCTTATAAGGCGATGTTTATGCAGTTATCAGGTATCAGTTCTCTGTCACTAGGATACAATTGACGAAAGTTTTTTTTGCATGTGTACCACCAAATTGCATTGCGGACTTGAGCTGTTGTATTTATAAAACTGATACAGGTGCCTAAATCTGTTGACCACTGAAATGGTCAAGTCGGGGTACGTACGGTGTTAATATTAAACTTCTTCTCTCACGAAGACTTAAAGGATTCTCGAAGACACAAAAGACTTGTTCAATGCTTTTCTGAGAAACCAGTCTGTCTGGTCACAAAGATCATTACAACGTTCTCTTTTTGAGTAAAAGATGGTCGACTGCCCGTAGTCGTGATAATAAGACGTAACTATGACAACTGCATTCAGCATGCATTTGCGCTGATTTATTCAGTAAATTGTCTCTGCTGAACCACAAACGGCGATTTCTACGCAAACCGCAGAAAGAACCCCCCTGCACTTGTGAAGCGACTCCTCCTCTACTCTACCGTGTACACGGGACTTCTAAAAAGCGTAATTCTTTTTGTAAGTCCGAACAATAGGGACTCTATTTATGATTTTCAGGCTTATCTAGATGTTACTGTGGCGACGACTTCGCTCATGACAAAACAGTGCATACCCTGGAGTATTATCTCTTCCATACCTTTTTATAAAAGATCTTTCTCAGAGCTGTCTCGATACACATAAGCATGCGTAAAACTAGCTACACAGCTTTTTTTAGCCGCTGGAGAACGGCCTTACTCATAAAAGAGCGACGAGTCGAGGCCAGATTATTCGTGACGGTTTAATGCTTGATCATTCGACGCACTGTGTGTCTACGCAGCAAAAATGTGTGTCATCAGTACACAATTGCAAGTCTTATGATGTAAGGATGTAAATCATAGTGAAATTTTGTTGAAGTGACAGCTCATCTAGAACATAATCTTGCTGGCGTCATCCAGGCACATACATAATTATGTCTATACAAGTGATACGATTTCAAAACTGTACGTTGCCCTCATGCCTTCCACCTTGCCATGCAAGGTTTTCAAATGTTTTGAATGGCAAAGTGTACCTACACGAATGCGGGTTACAAGGCACTCCATAGTTGTCAAATCTTTCAATGTGCGACGTCGGTCTTTCTATGCCTACCCGGTGACACGGAAATTGTGCGCACCCATACGGAGGCAGCCCTTACTTGAAGTTGAAGTTCATGCATCTAAACTGTAAGATGACTTCAGTCTCTTACGATATGTCAAGGTAGTGGCTTCACAAACTGGACAAGTTGTTGCAGCGTGGAATAAATTGTCCTTTTCTGACGGGGCATCCTTTGGGTGAGAGAGAGAAGATCAGAAGGATCTCGATAAGTGAGTGTGCATGAAAAAAGGCACACAGCCGAATCGGTCCACAACGTCTTGTAAAATTTGCGGTGCAAAGTAGCAGGCATCAAAACACACAACTTTTAGGACAGCTTTCTATAACGTGTATTTAATTTTGGTCTTTTCATCTAAAACCTAGTCAACTCTTCCTATCCACACACAGCTTCGTTGTCCTCAGCTTCTTGCTAAAGTTAAGGATCCCTCACACGTATACGCTGTCGATAATTCCGAACTTCAGCCTCTTTCCAAATTCAGAAAACCCAAAAAGACCTCCCCACTAAAAACGTGAGGTCTCGGCCATTCGTCCCACCCCCGACCCCCCCCACCCTCTGAAGTAAGCAGAAGAACAAGACAAGGAAAAACCGCAAGACGATGATGATGACCAAGCTAAGCCGCGCGCGCCAGCCCCTCGCTCGCGCGCAGTCGTCCGTAGCCGCCGCGGTGTCCGCTTACCCTTCGTACGTGCTGAACGCGCCAGCCACGGAGGTCACGACGCTGCCGAGCGGCCTCCGCGTGGCCTCCGAGGGCTCCCACGGCGAGACCGCGACGGTCGGCGTCTGGATCGGCGCTGGCTCTCGCTACGAGACGGCGCAGAACAACGGGGCCGCGCACTTTCTGGAGCACATGGCGTTCAAGGGCACGAGCAAGCGCACGCAGCACCAGCTGGAGCTCGAGATTGAGAACATGGGCGGCCACCTGAACGCCTACACGAGTCGCGAGCAGACGGTGTACTACGCCAAGGTCTTCAAGAAGGACGTGCCCCGTGCCATGGACATCCTCAGCGACATTCTGCAGAACTCGAAGCTGGACGAAGCGGCGATTGAGCGCGAGCGGGACGTCATTCTTCGGGAGATGGAGGAGGTCAACAAACAGCAGGAGGAGGTTGTCTTTGACCGGCTCCATGAGACGGCGTTCATGGGCAACGGCCTCGGTCGCACGATCTTGGGACCGACGGAGAACGTACGTTTCATTTACTGTTGCTACGTGGGGAGGTCCACTGTGTGATGTAGCTGGCTGCTTCACTAGTTTTTTTTACAATGTTGTGCTGTAGATTCGAAACTTGAAGAAATCGGACCTTCAGGACTACATTGCCACGCACTATACGGCGCCGCGGATGGTGATTGCCGGGGCTGGGGCCGTGGACCACTCGCAACTGGTGGAGCTGGCGCAAAAGTCGTTTGGGGAGTTGCCGACAACTCCGGCCGTGGCTCCTACACTTGAGCCTGTGCGTTTCGTTGGCTCAGACGTGCGTGTGAAAGACGACAGCATGCCTCTGGCTCACGTGGCCCTTGCGTTTGAGGGTTTCAGCTGGACCAGTGAGCACTCGTTCCCTCTGCTGATCATGCAGACGCTGCTCGGCAGCTGGGACCGCACCTCGGGTGCTGGCATGAACATGTCGTCGAAGTTGGGCCAGGTTGTAGCAGAGAAGGAGCTTGCCCACTCGTACATGTCGTTCAATACGTGCTACCAAGATACGGGTTTGTTTGGTGTGTACGCTGTAGCCGACAAGTACAAGCTGAACGATCTGACGTGGTACACAATGGAGGCACTGGTGCGCCTAGTACACAAGACCACGGATGATGAGGTCGAGCGTGCGAAGGTGCAGTTGAAGGCCAACATGTTGATGCAGCTGGACGGTTCGTCGCCAATCTGCGAGGACATTGGTCGCCAGATGCTGACGTACGGCCGCCGCATGACCCCTGCAGAGATCTTTGCTCGCATTGATGCCGTGGATGCTGCGGCTGTTCGTCTTACGGCGGACGAGGTCATTAATGACAAGGAGCATGCGCTGGCTGCTATTGGTCCTATCCACGAGCTGCCTGACTACAACTTCATTCGCCGTCGCTCGTACTGGCTGCGATACTAAGCAGATGGGGCCGTCTTTGCATCCTGTCGTCAAGAAGGGAGGGATTGAGGCATTGAGCTGGTAAACGGATTTTCAGAAGCTCTGTATGGAAAAGCGGACGAGCCGTTGGCTACTTTGTCAAGAAGAATTGACGCGTGAATGAAAGCAAATTGCATTGAATGTCTTTGTTGTAAGTGAAACTATAGAGAGCGTTAGAGTTGGGCGCAGCTTGCTATGCTTCGTGCTGACTGAATACAGTAGAGACCTTTGATACGGCGCCCGATCTATCGGATGTTCCGGATTGTGCGCAAGTAAACTACGCCAGGCCTCAAGGTATCCATGTGCCTAAACAAGACACAAGGTTACTCTGAATCGCGATGTGACTACAACGTGATTAATTGGCAACGAATAACCTTAAAATCAGATTTAGTGGCGGTACACTTTATCGGACTGCAGCAGCAGCACTAGAGTGATCATCATGGGTCACACAGCTAGCACCAACAGATGGCAACCTCGCATTTCGGAGACGACTCTGGATGAAGAGCCTGAACGAACCGCTGCAGCAAGTCGTGGAAGCTACGCACCAGCACAAGCGGTAGCGACGACTCGTGGAAGACCAGACATGGCCTTTATATCGACGAATGATGGAGTGCCCAAGCCCATCGGTCTTCCAGAACTACAACAATCAAGCACAATTACGAACCACGTGAACCTGAACAAGTCCAGTCTGAAGCTGGAACGGTCGATTACAGAACCGTCACAGTACGCACTGACATTCAAATTTGACGCGACTAAAGCCTGTCGGATCAGTGTGTACGTCGTGGCAGCTGAGGTCGTTGAAGCTGGAACTGGCAACTTGAGTTACGCTCTGGCTTGTGCGGATAACATCCCGATTCTGACTCAGCACTTCTCTCACGGAATGAGGCAGACTTTTGTGCTCAAAGGTGGAGAGAAGGAAGAGCAGACACTTACAAAGGACCGTGAGAAGCTTGAGCATCCAGGGTCGTTCTTGGACTTGTCAGGCTATGACGCTGATGATCTGGTGTACAAGGCTGACGAGAGACAATTTCCATTAATTATCACGCTTGAAGTAGTGTCAGACGGTAAGCTGTTGCAGCTTGATTTCGTCGCTATCCTTGGTGTTCATCCGTTGCGATGTCGTTCACAGGTACATCCATCCAGTCCCAGTCAACTTTCTGCTCATTTTTTCGGACCGCTGAAGACGACTGGGATGTCAGGGTGCTCAAGCAGAAAGTTCTGGTAAAGATAGCTTTCGGTCTGAGTGAGATCCGATAGTTTTCCAGTCGACTAATGCTTGTGTCTTTTGGTTAGGTCGATGGGCTGACGTACGAAGTGCAGGAGATTTATGGCATCAGTGCATCGGTAAACATAGCTCCCGAAACTAAGCGAAGCGATAAAGCGGAGGACGATCATGTTGCCATAAGTCCATCGACTGGAGCTGGGATCGGACCGTCTCAAGAAGCCGAATGCATCATTTGTTTGTGTGAACCGCGCGATACTATCATTCTACCCTGCCGTCACATGTGTCTCTGCAGCGGCTGTGCAGAAACACTAAGCAAGAGGTGTAGCATGTGCCCAGTTTGTAGAACGCGGGTCGAGGCGATGTTGCATATGCGCAATGAAGGACAGGAGACGCTGAACTTGAGTAGCGAATGCTCTGTTCAAGGTAATCGACGCCGGATGTTGTAAAATCTAGAGGCACACACTGAAATATCTCCATGGCACAGTGGCGAAGATCTGGAGGGAACTCTACATTGTGGTGTTGCGGTACGTATGACGATTTCTTGCAAGTCCCAAGCATGACAAAAGAATGATCATTTTACTGTGGTCTCTTCCTGCTTCTTCCTCTCCTCTCCCTGCGGAAATGGACCACCGGACCAAAAGTTTCCCCTCGGCTTTCCGTCCTAGTCAGTCCTCCACGAAGGATCAGGCTCTCTATTGGTGCTGATCTAGTCTTCGCGCATGGGTGATGCCTTCGCTTGTCACGGCCTTGCAATTGGTTCCGTGCACTTCGTGTTTTTCTTGATGATTTTTGCATGTTTATCTTGTACAAATACTGACAGCGCCGACGGCTCGAACTTGAAGGTGGAAGAAACATCGACAAACGTCCGCCGCGTGTCACTATATCTGCGCCTTCATTCTCGAGTGGTTACACCGAAATACATGCAGATAATACGCTAGTGTCGCACGGCATCTCCTACGCTGCCCTGGCCTGGTCTCAAGCTCCCTCCCACAAACTAGAGCCAACTGGCGTCGTGTTTTCAGGTTCCCTCGTTTGGCCTTAGACTGCCAGACGCCACCTAATTGCTTTTTTTCCACATTCCCTTCATCTGACATCCACAATAAAACAAGTAAGCTACCGTATCGGACTTCCAAACAGCACAAAACGAAGCCGTACCAAGTTCGCCACTTGCTCCGGGGCGTCACGAAGTCGGTTCGCCGTTGACGGAGTGGCGCTTGCATCACCTGTTGAGCCATAGTACGGACTGCTCTGGCCTTTCGCAGGATAAACTCCACCACGCTGAGATCTTATTTGAACCTCTTCTACTGCGGCTTTCGTACTCAGGTCTCCTGAAGACTGCGACTGAAGACCGCCACGAGTAGATGGACTACCACCATTAATGTCTCCCCGTCGCTTAGGGCTCTGAGGGCCTCCTTGGCTAAAGCTGTTATCTGCACTGGAATTCGAGTCATCGGACATCGTCGGAGATCCGACCTTAGCTGCGTTGCTCGACAACGATCGTGTCATCATCTCGACCATTTGCTCGCGTTTCTTCAACTCACTCTCACGACGCATGTAGTCTACCTCCAGCTCTACAAATCCATGAAAATAGTCTCCATTAGATTCAACACAAAGTACGCGACGAAAACAGAGAAACCTTCCCCACCTTTCAGTTTCTTTTCACGTGCCATCAATGCAGCCTCTTGTCGACGAAGGTCTTCTTCGAACGGAAATATCTCCATGGCACAGTGGCGAAGATCTGGAGGGAACTCTACATTGTGGTGTTGCGGTACGTATGACGATTTCTTGCAAGTCCCAAGCATGACAAAAGAATGATCATTTTACTGTGGTCTCTTCCTGCTTCTTCCTCTCCTCTCCCTGCGGAAATGGACCACCGGACCAAAAGTTTCCCCTCGGCTTTCCGTCCTAGTCAGTCCTCCACGAAGGATCAGGCTCTCTATTGGTGCTGATCTAGTCTTCGCGCATGGGTGATGCCTTCGCTTGTCACGGCCTTGCAATTGGTTCCGTGCACTTCGTGTTTTTCTTGATGATTTTTGCATGTTTATCTTGTACAAATACTGACAGCGCCGACGGCTCGAACTTGAAGGTGGAAGAAACATCGACAAACGTCCGCCGCGTGTCACTATATCTGCGCCTTCATTCTCGAGTGGTTACACCGAAATACATGCAGATAATACGCTAGTGTCGCACGGCATCTCCTACGCTGCCCTGGCCTGGTCTCAAGCTCCCTCCCACAAACTAGAGCCAACTGGCGTCGTGTTTTCAGGTTCCCTCGTTTGGCCTTAGACTGCCAGACGCCACCTAATTGCTTTTTTCCACATTCCCTTCATCTGACATCCACAATAAAACAAGTAAGCTACCGTATCGGACTTCCAAACAGCACAAAACGAAGCCGTACCAAGTTCGCCACTTGCTCCGGGGCGTCACGAAGTCGGTTCGCCGTTGACGGAGTGGCGCTTGCATCACCTGTTGAGCCATAGTACGGACTGCTCTGGCCTTTCGCAGGATAAACTCCACCACGCTGAGATCTTATTTGAACCTCTTCTACTGCGGCTTTCGTACTCAGGTCTCCTGAAGACTGCGACTGAAGACCGCCACGAGTAGATGGACTACCACCATTAATGTCTCCCCGTCGCTTAGGGGCTCTGAGGGGCCTCCTTGGCTAAAGCTGTTATCTGCACTGGAATTCGAGTCATCGGACATCGTCGGAGATCCGACCTTAGCTGCGTTGCTCGACAACGATCGTGTCATCATCTCGACCATTTGCTCGCGTTTCTTCAACTCACTCTCACGACGCATGTAGTCTACCTCCAGCTCTACAAATCCATGAAAATAGTCTCCATTAGATTCAACACAAAGTACGCGACGAAAACAGAGAAACCTTCCCCACCCTTCAGTTTCTTTTCACGTGCCATCAATGCAGCCTCTTGTCGACGAAGGTCTTCTTCGATGCCCAAAAGCTCCTTCATCTTTTGGTTGTACGACGTCTGCAAATTCGGATCAGCAGCTGCCGGTGGCGCATTGGCCGCCGAGTATGCGCGTAATCTCTGTTGTAGCTGTGGCACACGCTCCAAGTCTTCGATTCTCGGTCGTCGAGAGCGCTGCCTATGGAGCATCCATCGAATGACCTGGAAGAGACCCTCCGAGTATTGTGAGGGGATCCGCGTAAACTTGCCAGCGTTGATTTTTTTGGCGAGTGCCAACTGATTGGTTGCATCAAAAGGTGGGCCAAGCGTAGCCATTTCGTACAGCAGGCACCCCAGCGCCCAAATGTCAGAACGGTCGTCGTACGTCATCTCATTCACCATCTCTGGGCTCATGTAGTACGGCGTTCCCACGTTTGTCTGTGCAAAACGAGACTCGCTGCTCAGCTCCTTGGCGAGACCAAAGTCACCAAGCTTCGCATTGTTCTAAATTGAAACAAAGAAGCTGTCAGCGACTTACAGATATCACATAACCACACAAACAACCGTAGTACAATACGCTTCGTACGTTCGAGTCTAAAAAAATGTTGCCAGGTTTAATGTCGCGGTGGAGAATGGGGCGAATGATGTTGCCTTCGCGGTGACGGTGACATTCCTTCAATGCCAAAAAGATATGCGTAAAAATGTGCCAGATGAAGCCCTCTTCGATGTAAGACCTGCCAAGGATCCGGGATATACCCGTCAGCAATCAACTCGATTCCAAATACGATTTACCCGAAACCAGCAAACCACATCAAACGTACCCCTCCCGCTTCTTCCGCTTAATGAACTGACCAAGATCGCCGCCTTCGCAGTATTCCATGACAATGTAAATCCTGGTCGCCTGCTTGTCAATCACTCGGTCCAAGTAGCGGACAATGTGAGGATGGCGCAGCTCCCTCAAAATGTTGACCTGTTCGTCCATCCAACAGAAGATTAATGCGAAAACCACATTCATTGTTTGGGCCATCAGCTACGTCACTCAGGCAAGGGAGTAGGGACCACTCAATCGACGCACCTCGCTCACAATGAGCTGCTTCTCCTTCTCACTCATGGCTCCGTAGTTGACCTCTTTCCACACGAGCATCTACCACATCCACCGACAAATGCATCCACCACAAAAGTAGCAAACAGACAAATAGACACAAAAATAGACAAAAGACACGTCAGTACATGACTCTCCTAAGCTCCAGACACGTGTGGGCGTGTCCCCCCTCTCTCCACGTGTCGCGTCTGCCCTCACCTTGCGATCAGCTTTGCGCACAATCTGCGTGACGACGCCAAATGAGCCCTTGCCGATGATGCGGATCTGCTCATACGCGTCCATCCTGACGACTCGATGCTGTCGAGACGGTTGAGCGTAGGGCGTCGGTGGGCGGAAGGGAAAAGGGCGGTAGAGTGCCGCTGGCTGGTGACGCGCGAGAGCGAACTCAAGGCGTGAAGGAGCGACTGCGTGGCTGGCGAAGGAGCGGCTCAGTCGTCGTCGTCCTTCGAGCGCGACGAGTCTTCTTCTCTCTCGGCTGTTCTTCGCTTTGTGTGGCGGGTCACGGTGGGGAGAGAGAGTCAGTGGAGGGAGAGTCGGGAGGACGATTGGGACCTCCTCGAGTATCGATTATGAAAGAGACTACGTAACAGCCTACAACAAAGTCACAGACCCGCCTCATCCAGTAGATCAACGATCGGTCACCCTTACAACGTGCTGTCGGGTCGTTGGACCGCCTGTTTTACGAAACGGCGGAAGCCCTCGTTTGTCAAATTGACAAAAGCCGAACGTTGACGCGGCATCATGTCTCCAAAGTTCGCAGGCAGCGAATGTATCGACTCTTTTTTTTTCGGGAATTCCTGCAGGCGTATCGATGTATTACTATTTGATGACAAGAGAGCGGGGATCGTTCACGTTAAAGGTGCGTTTGGACTTGTGTGCATCCTTTCAAGAAGCTCGACTTACGTGAGGCGACCGTGAGTAATCGCAACATCTGGCGATCGGAAGATGACTGTTGTTACAAACTTCCATCGTCTGTTTACTGTCGTAAAACCTCAGACAATCGTTCAATCAGCTAGCTACAGTTTTGAAATTGGATAAAGCGCGTCGTTTCCGTCCTAAGACATCCTCATTATTGTTCTATCGCACACGCATTTCGTCGCTTGTCAAGGTATACCCTCTATTACCCACGGTTACTACTTGCATCGCTGTATCGTAACGTGGGTAGCCTCACGATATGCTAGGACTGGTCAAATCGAAAAGTGTTTCGAGACACAGACACGCCGCATCGGCAATTTGGAAACGGGTATATACTTTGCTTAGATCAACTACTGTCGTTGCTCTGCCGTAGCCTAAATGCTACGAGTGATCAGCCCCGATTGCAGCAACTAGCGGTCTGGAGAAAAAGAAAGAGTACCTATCATTTGTCTCGGTACAATGAACTGTAAAGCTTGCGAAAATGCGACGTCGTTCTGCCTCGTCAGTATTGATACCTTCACTAACGGCTGACGGCTCTTCACCAGTGCAAAGCCTCGAATTTGTTTTGCAAGGTGGGAGGTGCAGCTACTCGTCGCCTTTGACTCATGGCTTGATCGATTATCGTGCAATCACGTTTGTTTTGCATATATTCACACTCTAGCAACGAAGACTCGAACGATCACACACGGTTGGTTTTTATTGGCAAAAGCATCGTTGCGAGCCCAAAGGGCGAAGATATGAGTGACTGCGCAAATTTGAATGCCGAACTTTTAGATCGTACTTATCAGTGCGTGAGTCAATGTGGGTGTTTGGTTTGTAGAAAACGCGGTGGAGATGTACGTTTCACGTACTAAGTTCGATCTAGCCTGACTCCCTTTTTAGGTCAATCAGCATGATCGGTGTCACTCTTTGGCTAGGTCACTATTGTGACTTACGCATGGGATTGGCTTAAAATCGATCAAAGGTGAATCTGATCAAATAAGCACATGCTGGACGCTCACAAGCAAATGCCGATCGCGTTGCTTGCGTATACTGTACTGGGTTAATAAAGACATTACCGCATCATACTCCATGAGCTCCAGAGCTTGCTCCCCTATCTTACAGAGTGTCGTCGCTCATTTCCTTGATCATCACAAAACATAGTTCCGAACCGTAGCGCTTTGTATGATCAGGATTCTCTTTTGCACTTTTGATTCTCGCAGCAGCGGAGGGGAGACAAACGTACAGATTAAAAAGTAGGGGTCGCACATCGTACATTATCAGGTAATCGTCGAATTAATGTCGCATTGGATGCAACGAATGCACGAAGCAAGTCGCTAAAGGTACATCCAGTGCCTGAAAACTTACTAATGCTCGGCAGTCAACAGCGCTTCGCTATCAAGCGCATCCTCGTCCAGCATCAGCGGCACTTGAGTTTTGATCACTTTCGTACGATTCAGAATGTGCCCGTTCTGGTAGTCCACCACGTTGAGGGCGATACCCACGAGACTACCCAGCACTCCAAACGATATAAAGAGTAGTTCCACGCTCGGGATGTAATGACCGTCGTGATTGAACTGAGCTGCGACGGCAAGAGGGAACATTGCGAGTCCAACGTTCTGGATAAACATGCAAGGAAACAAGCGTAAGCGTCAGCAATTATGTCCGCTTGCAACTCTCAATTTAAAGAAGGAAAAGGTGAGGACATCATCACCATCTAACATACCTGGATAGCGGTTATTGCTCCGTATGCCGTTCCAACGTACTTTGCTTCGACTACGTCTGTATGATAACAAGAAGACACCAACCAATCCTCCCGATTAGTGCCAATGTAAAGGTTTTATACAAGCAAAAGCTTCGCTTACATGGAACTGAGGGCCACAATGCTGCGGCAAACACGCTGTAGGCTACACCCTGCAGCACCAGCGGGACGTACAGTGTAACTTGGGTGTATCCAAGCATGGCGTGGACTGCCGTCAATGCGAGAGGGGCTACCAGCGCTAACAAGGCGCGGAGACCAACACGGTCAACCACGAACCCCAGAAACGGAGATATGACAGCGCTGATGATGTATGGAATTGACATTGGGGTAGCAGCTCGCTGCGCCGCTCCCATCTTTGCAGCACAGTACGTCTTCGTTAACGGGCCGAGTTTCCATGCCTCGTCGTCACAATTGATCTTGTCGTCAAGAATGAGCGGTGGCGACGTCGAGCAGTTCCACTGGTCAGACGGTTCCTTAATCGTGCAATTTGCTGATAGCAAGGGCAGAGGCCATCCGTACGGAGGAACACTGGGGCATCCTGGGGCTATGTGCTCGCAATCGAGTTCGAAAATGTACCGTCCCTCACCGCATCGTCGGCACTGTTCAGATGGTTCCTTGAAGAAGTCGCGTTCCATCAGCAGGCTACTGGCGACGTTGTTAAAGGGAATTACGCAGCCGTACACCACCAAACAGCTCAAGGCCAGGAACCAGAACGCTGGTCGGAAATACTTGACATCACTGAAACGAATGCTCTCTGCAATAGCCGCATCCCCCTTAAGACTCTTTTTGTCCAGTTTTTCAGCCGTCCGATCAATTGGAGTCAACAGCAGTAACGTGGAGGTGGATCCGAGACACATGATGACACCCACCCACAGCGCTGACGACACACCCGAAGCTTGAGCAACGACTGGACTGAGTTCGTTGTTAATGACACTGCCGAGCCGAGCCACGCTAAGGTTGATACCCAAAGCCAGTGCTAGCTCACTGTTTTTGAACCACGAGGCAACAAGAGTTCCTTGAGCAACTCCCAAGCTCTCCCCGCCGAAGCCAAAGATCACTCGGCCAAACTGCGAGAAACAACCGCACACGCCATTACAAGCCACATCTAAACATAAAGTGGACCTCCTCTTGACTCACCAGCATCATGTTGAAACTCGAGAGGGAACAGCCCGCTGCAAAGATCACTTGTCCCGTTAATATTGCCGTCGAGAAGGCAAAGATCATCACGCGAGCACCGAATCGGTCCACCAAGACACCACCGAAGAATGGGAGCAAGATATTGGGGATCGAGTACAATGTGTACAGTAAGTTCTTCAAGGATAGCAAGTGGACAGTCAGTATCAGCTAATGTTAAGTAACATAATATTTCGGATCACAGTAGTTCCTTACAAAAGGAACTCGTAGCGGTCTTTCGGGATGGCGCTAAAGTGCTGCTGCAGCTGACTCTTCAATGCTGCAGGGTTGTCAAAGCAGTAGTAGTTGCCGATCATGAGCACACAGGACAGAAACAGCACGAGCCACCGCACCCGCAGCTCGCTCTTCTCCATGTCGAAAATGTGTTGACAGGTACAAAGGGCCTTCTCGCCCATCAGAAATCCTCTGTATTCAAGTAAGTACGGATTAAAACGGAGCAGCTCGAAATTCCAAATCGACCATCTCTCTTCGCGCGACTTCTCCTAATACTTTTTAGGTTCTACTGAAGCACGTCATTTCTTTCGAGCGCTAGGCCGATTCGGTTATCATCAATTGATACTGAAGTCTTTGACTGATACACTGCGCCAATAAAGCAGATACCACTGTAATTTCAAGTTCCAGAGAAGCCGCACACGTAACTTGTATCGTTCTTTGGACCAGCGAGAGAAGTAAACGAGTCTGAGCTGGTACTGCCAAACCACTGAGTAGTACACATTGTAGTTTTAAAGCGGAGTCCAAGTAGAGCTGCTTCTGAGTGGCGAATATCAACGTGCTGGATCTTCTCGTCTTTAACAACTCCGATTAGGGTGCTCATTCGGGCCAAGAGCAATGCGCAGTCCCTTAGGTATCAAATGAAATGCTCGCTTTCGACAACGTAGATTGCTTGTAAGTGATCATCAGACTTAATACAAATGCCCGAAGTCTGTCGTGGCTGTAGTAAAATGACAAAGAATCGACACCGGCAGTCTAAAAAGGAATACACTCAGCCGTTGTCAATTTGTCAACAGCAGTCTTAGCAAACTGGTCATGATCTAATGAGGGGGACCTTTAAACGGCAACGCGGGTAGCGAGCGACCAGTGTGGAGAACAAATTTTTCATACTGACACTATTGTCCTTACACCTCTGTTGTTCACAGCGAGCGCTTTGACATTCCGATATGGGCTGAGAAGGATCTGCACAATTTATTCAAGCAATTCTTGTGGACGCACGCGTCATCGATAGTGTAATGGGGCACCCTTTGTTTGGGGTGCCACGAAACTTCACGGTACACTAGTACGTGCATAAGAAGCTAATCTACTCAAACGACTCATTTAAGTAAGGGTAAAAAGAGAACTGTATTTAATATAGTTAAGCTGTCAATGTAACTTCAGTATTTATCCTACCATATTAAACTACGCCGTCGTGTGAGGACAACCTGCTCACCACTCATTACGCGCGTCTAGCAGCGATTGGCGGTAATCTACGGTTGACATGTCTATGACAACCAATCTTCGAGCAGCGCATGAATAATATCTTAAAAGGGGATAACATTACTTCAAAATTATCCATCTCGGATAATATTGATAATGTATTGTCATGCTAGACAATCTCCATATTGACACCATTTGGTGTCAATATCATAAACCGGGCTACCCCGTTACATCACAGCCCCCACATTGACCATCAATTACCCGTTGATTGAATTTAACCAATTGGGACAGGGTGACCACCGTTAGACCACTCTGGAAAGGGGATTGTTGGTCGAATTCCATCAATTTTCCAATTCATCGCATGGTGTTTAAGTCCATGCGATGTGCTGCCGAAGCAAAAAGAAGGCGGTCGCACGCATGCTTGCAGCCGAAGATAGTTCTGCTCTTGCTTCAGCAGCAGGTAATCTTTCGCCTGCTGTTGCAATTAATAAAAAAGGCGATGCCTATCGTGAATAGTCCACGTGGTGAGTCACCACGTGCGACAAATGCATATGTTGCATCCGCCGTAAGTGCTACCACTCGCAATGCGGATGAGTCTTAAATAGAGCTCATCTAGTCTGGCGATTCGGATGATCCATCGGACTCGAAGGCGACACCTCATGTCTCCGGATCATCCGGGGCGGAAACTGTTAGAGCCAGGTTTTCTGGCTCTGGGGAACGTGGCGGCATCATGTCCGAGATCTTTGAACCGAGCGACTCATCTGACACATCTCGTCTCACGCAAGTCCATCCGAAGATAGGACGCGTGGTGATGGTGGTGATGTTGGTGATGCCCCAATGCATCACCATGAGAGAAGCAACTAGAGCGATCGAGCTGCCACTGGTGTCAGTGCTCTTGCTGACACCACTCAAGAGGCCAGGGACCGAAATTTCCTGTGCCACGCTCCTCAAGTGAAGCCTCCATAGAATCCGTCATCCATAGAGTTGGACCGGTTGGCCGGCATGACCACCGAACGGGATCGAATCCTGTTGTTTGATTGTAGGAAGATTTGCCCATTTAATGCCAGCATGGAAACTATCCGTGCTGAGGAAGAGTTCTTCACCGATGCGTTCTTCAAACATCGGTGGAACAATGGTAGCCGTGTGCGAGACGGTAAAGCCTTGGTGCAGGGATGGAATTCCCTCATCCATAGCATCGAGTGCATTGGCCGTGAGGCCTGGCTCGCCAAACTTGATGCAGCTCGCATAAGTTTTAAGAAGCGCAACCCAGTCGGGGCACGTTACAAGTTGCATCGGCTTTCAAGAGAGGCAGGATTACCCTGTCTCTCGTGGGGCGACCATTATCCAGGTTGCCTGGACAACTTGAACCATGCCCCTAGAGAGACCTACCTCCCTTATGATCCCTACTGGAGGGTGCGCATCTCTTCCATGATGGCCGAAGGGATTGACACCTTGCAATTCCTGTGCTCGCATTCGGGAAGGTCGTTATCCAACGGCCCTTCTTCAAACGCAGCAGGTGGGTCTCGTCATACTGCTCGACGAGACCAAGGACATCAACAATCAGCTGGGCGCGAGGCACACAGCTGTCCCAAGCCGGTGTATAGCCACGCCAGCGGACGAGGTAACTCGTCCGGACGCCCTTCACATCGTGGTGGTTCAAGATACCCTCTTTCAGAAAGCGTTGATAAACGCCAGAGTCCACTAAAGGATGTGATGGTAGCGGGAACACCTCATCCGGCTCGAGGGTCGGATCAGCGTGATGTTAAGGAGCTGAATCATGTAACGGAACAGTTACAAGATGACCTGGCTCATGAACGGACTCGGCTTTATCAGCTTCATGACATCGTAAAGGATAATTACATTTCCTTAGCGCACGATCGTTCGAACGATCGTGCCGCGTTTGCGTTCGCGCAACTTGAGAAAGAATGTTTGGCCTGTTCCCTTCGTAACGAGCTGACTGCAGCTCGTCAGGATGTCGATCAACTGCGTGAGCAGGTCACTTCGCTAGTCGACCAGACTGGCTCGTTGAAAAGAAAACACTCGAAGATGATCTCGACCCTTGACCGCGGAAGTGTTCTTCGCCCCTCGAAACGGGCTAGTACTGATAGTACAGGTGGAGACGTCCAATGTAAAACGTAGGATGCGTACGCATCGTACAATGCTGTTCAATCGTGTATGCGTTGCCCATTCGACGCAGCACACGAAATGGACCGATGTACTTAGGCAGCAGGTATACTGCTGCCCACGTTTGTCACTGCGTTATTTGATAGATTTACTGTATACAGTAAAACTAAGTCTCCTTCGATACATGAAAGAACATTTGCTCTTCCATGTTTGTCCGCGTTTCTTTTCTGTCTGTCTATTGCATCTGCAATAGAGTCTTAAACGAAGCGGACAACCGCTTTGCGAGTCAGCAGAAATTCCTCTGCTGATTTATCCTTGTCAACCGCAGTGCGCTTCGTGTGCACTGTTCAAAGATTGTTGTCTTTATCATTTTGGGCGACTTCTCCCTCACTGTATCGGTCGTTGGTGATGCTGATTATACCAGCATCGTCGCCATATCGTCATCGGTGTCGATAGGATCGACACCAGTATCCGCCACGTCGACAAAATTGTCGAGGTGTGATGAGAAAGAACAAGATTGGATTTTGTTCGAGCGAGTCCACCACCCCCCTTAGCAAGAGTTACACCTTAAGAAGGCGGGTAAGCGTGGATGGTGCAGGCCATTCACGGTGAACAGCGTATGCGTTGTCGATGCACGCACCGAGTTGTTGATGATGAATTTCGCCATCGGCAAGAAATTACTCCAGCTCGTAAACAAGTTGACATACCCTTGAAGTATCTTTTCGAGAACGCAATTGACGCTTTCCGTCTGACCATCTGCTTCTGGATGGTCAGAAGTTAACATCGTCAAACGTGTTCCGAGTGAACGGAACACGGATTGCCAGAACTCCGCTGTGAAGCAGAGGTCCCTATCCGACACGAGTTCACGGGGTAACCCGTGAAGTCGGAAAAAGGTTTCGATAAAGACACGCGCACAGCCCTGGTCTGTTATGGAATCCGGTACAGCAACAAGATGTACCAACTTGCCGAATGATCAACAAACACAAGAATACCAGTTTTCTTTTGAACGTCTTTGAGGAATTTCGAAGACGAAGTCCATGATACGGACTGCCAACACTCTGTCGGAATTGGAAGAGGCTGCAAGGGTGCACGGGATAAAGTACTAGGCTTCACCCATTGGCAAACTTTGCAAGCGCGAATGTATTTCCGCACAAACTCATACTGGCGGGGACAGTAGAAATCACGACTTACCGTGAAGTAAGACTTTTCTCTTTCGCGATGCCCACTTGTTGGGGTATCGTTATACTCATACATGATGCGCAATCGTAAATCATCATGAGCGGGAACGAAGACACGAGGTGTGTCTCCATTTACTGCTGTATAGTACAGCAGTCCATCACGAACCGATTACCCTTCGGTTGAAGAGCGGCATCGAGACGTCAATCGTTTCAAAGCTTTACTGCATGGAATAGACACATAATTCATCAATCGCAGAAGAGAATCATCTTCTGCGTATGCTTTCCGCACGTTGTCGAGCAGATTCGACGACGGAACACTCACTGTTAGTGTCGCGACAGTGGGATTACCCCTTCTAGATTGCTGAGCAGTCGGCCCGAAATCGGGCCGACGCGAAAGAGCATCAGAGACGACATTAAGTAGTCCTGACCTACATTCGACATAGAAGTTGTACTCCGCGAAGAAGGACAGCCACCTCGCCATTCGTTGCGAGAGGGGTGGACTGTTTACGGCCGTGCGTAATGACGCATGGTCGGTATAACCGATGAAGGGCCTTTGTCCTTAGAGATTTACCCGAAACTTAGCCAGTACATAATTCATGGCAAGAAGTTCCTTGTCATGCACCGGATAATTTTGCTCAGCTGCTTGCAGCTGATGCAATTTATAACAGACGACGCGCTCAACGCCATCTGAGTCATACTTCATCCACGCGCAGCCGATTACAAATTGGCTGGCGTCATAGACCACATAGAATGGTCTGTCCTGGTCTGCAATCGCCAACAAAGGCGATTGCATCAATCTTATCTTGATGCTTTCAGAAAAGTGCTGACAGTCAGCACTCCATGACCACCTGTCGTTTTTTAACAGTCGAGAGAGATGGACGGTCATCTCGGCGTAGTTGCGCGAGTACTTGTGCATGTACGCTGCTAAGCCAAGGAATTTTCGATGTCCCTTGACGTCTACTGTCAAAGGCTAGTCTCTAATCGACTTGATTTTTCTGGATTAGGGCATACGCCGTTTCAATCTACGATGCAGCAAAGAAGTAGCATTTCGCTCGCTGCGAATATACACTTCTTGAGGTTCGCAAACAACTTATGCTCACGCATTAGGGTAATAACCTTTCGGACGTGGATTCTTTAAACCTCCACGTCTGTGTTTCCATCCATAGCCCGGTTATGGACGAAGGCGTTGTCAAAGTAACTCGGTACAACATCGGGCACCAATCGCAACAGGTTCGTAACACATCTGATGAACGTTTCAGGGACGTTACTTAGCCCCTGTGGCATGACTAGCCACTCCCAGAGCATACCACTGGGGGTGCTCAATGCTGTGTACAGGATGTCCCGTTCATGCATGAGGATCTGATAGATTCCATCCATCAGATCCAAGGACGAAAAGATGGTACTTTTTGCCATTCCATCTATGATGACATCCTTCCTTGGTATCGGTGTCTGAGCCGGTATTGTTGCAGCGTTCAATTTGTTGAACACGTGTACTATCCGCCACCCTCCTGTGGTCCTTCGCACACAGAAGGTCGTAGAGCTGTGTGGGGATATTGGTACCCTCGCGTTACCAGCAGCCAAGCGATCGGCGACGAATTTGTCAATCGCTGTGACTGGTTCACGAGGCAGTGGCCACTGCTTCATGACACAGTATTGTAAACCGGGTTTCAATTCGATCTCATGCCGAATGCCTTTGTCCTTGAGCACATTTTATGACATCTATTCAGGGTAAACATCCTTGCATTCGGCCAAATCCTCATACGAACGATCTGTCTTAAAGAATCCCAAGATTGAGACGTGTATCGCCGAATCCGAGTCTTCCTATCGAGGACACTCACATCCATTAATGAGCTACTGAGAGCCCGTTCGTTCTCAGTAAACACTTGTGCCGACCGAATATCGGTGACGTACTCGTCCTCTGTGGCTAGTACGCAGAGCTGCTTGGTCTTGTCACTACGCAGATCTCGCAAAAATCTTAAGATTCTAGCGTTGGCAACTTGACTACCTTCGAAGCTGACTTCGGGGGCGTCACAGATTAAGTGTCTAAGCACCTACACTTGATCCGTCATTCACCAAGACATTCGCTGTCTCGGTGATATTTTGGAAAAACACATCCGCAGGTGGTCGGGGATCCACACCCTCAACACAGCTCTCTCGAAAGTTATTAATTTCAGGAACGCTGGAACTCTCTTCCAATATGTGTACTGACTGTGGGTGCACAACCACATTTACGTCCTCTTCGATCGACTCTATTTCATTCGATCGGGCTTGCTCTGCCATCGACTCTCTGACAGTCGATCTCGCTTCAACAAGTTGTTCATTCTAATCAACACTAGTCTTTATTCTAAAATTCATCCTTCTTGATGTGCATCCGTGTTCCAGTCCACTCGATCTCTTCGAGTGGTGAACCTTCGGCGCAGCCTGTGTCTCTACACAGGTGCCGGAAGCTCGTTCCACAGTGTAGTGACCTTCTACACTTTGATCTTGTGTAGTCGTGCTAATGACCGTACCACAAGTGAGGCCATCGCATCACTCGTAGTACATCGACACGCTTGTGTGCAAGACGTTCCTTAGATGGCCATCTGATGAACAAACGGCAGGCATACTCACGGATCGATGCTTCCAGCTAACTCGTAGCTGGTGTTTTCGAAGCCGTGGTAGACCGATGATGGCATCAAATTTGTCATCCAAATCTAGTACGATCAAGTCATCATCGTACTGCTTTTCTTCTAGCGTGTAGTGGATCCCCACTACACGTTTGTTCACTGTTGCGGATGCGCTTGGAGAATGGCACACCTTCATCCTCGTTATAGGGATAACTTGCTCAACACAGTTGAGTCTACTATCCCTTAGCGACTGGCGTCAAATAAAATTTTCGACGCTCTACAGTCAGGTAGGGCGCGAAAGGACATTCCACTTGTCACTTCGATCTCCAATGTGATGAGTGACGTGCCATAACTAAAGGCAGTAACACACAACGACTGTGTGTTG